GGCACTGCGGCCGGAGCTTCTGGGAAGTCCTGCTGTGCCCTGCCGCTTGGTGCCAGCCATCCTTGGGGGAAACTGGAACGGTCTGTGTCCACTCTGAGAATGAAGAGGCCTCTCTGAGGGGGGAAGCCTGCAAGAGGGAGGGGGAGCTGGGAGAGGCGCTGGGTTTACTGCAGGCTGACCAAGACCGCTGTCGCCAGCCGGGCTGGTCTAGGGGTCCGCGTGCATCTCCAGGCCCCAGCACTGGCGGCTGAATCTGGATTTCCTCCAGCCACGCAGGGTGGAGGGTGGGAGACACTCGCCCTCCCCTCTGCCTTGTGTGTGGAAGCGTCAGTCCAAATGTCCTGCCTTTGCCAGGCGTGGGGTCACTGTGTGGCCCGGCGAGGCCAGCCCAACACCCCACCCTGCCCCTCGAGAACCCGGGAAAGCTGTGCAGGGGGCCGCATGTGACGGGGACTCCGTACTGTGTGGTTTCTGTCTCCGACACGCCAGCCTGCGCCGGGATGGGGCTCACCATGCGGGCTAGCAGGAGAGGGCGAGGGCCCGTCCTTGAAGGCATGGCCTGGACGTTATCTGCATCCCTTCCAATCACTCCCGCTGGCCAGAAACCAGGCTCAGGGCAGGGCGGGCTGGGGACTGGGGCCGTGCGTGGGCCCCCAAAGGTCCAGCTCCAGTCAGGGCTTCTGCTGCCACACAGGGCACCTTGTGGGGTGGCGGGGCAGAAAATAGGGTGGTGCTCGGCCTAAGGGAGAGAGGGGGTGAGAGAGCGAACATGTTAAAGTCAGCTACATGCAGAGACTGTACTGCGCTGACCAGCCCTGCGGCCAGGCCCGGACATCACCTGCAGAGCCAAGGAGGGTTTCTGTTGCGTTGCCGACAGCCCAGTCCGCACACTGTGGGGGGAACCAGGAGCCACAGAGTCCTTAGGTGGCGCCTACGCAAAGTAAAGCATCGTTCCCTCTGGCTAAACCACGGGGGACCTGTGATCGAAGGCTGGGGGCCAGCAGGCCTCTCGCTCTACACATTCTTCACGCCGCACAGTCTCCCCCTCCTCACTGCGTGTCCACGTCAAAGGCTTTAAACTGCAACTCACAGGAACTAAGCTGGGTCCCCTGCACCCCAGGTCCCTCTCCGTGTCTTTACTCTGCCCCTCTCCCTGACCTTGTCTCGAGATCATAGAGATGATGGAGACAAGATGTCCCTCGGAGTCTCTCTCAGGCCCTCTCACGCTCTGCCTGGGAGTGTCACCCCTTCTCCAGTACACGCCTTTTGGCTCCGTGGCGTGTGTGTTGGCTCCGTGGCGTGGTGTTGGCACGCCTTCTCAGGCTCTGCCAGAGGCCCTCTCTCCCAGTGTGGGATTCGAGTCCTCCACACTCGGGGAAGTGTGCCCCGCCCTGCATCAAGTCTTTCCGGCCTTGTGCGCAAACAGCCCCCCTGAGGAGCCCTGGCTCATGCCTGGTAGAACTTTGCTGCCAGGGTCAGCCAGGGTCCTTTTCTGTGACGCGCCCCCAGGCCACCCTGATGACGGAAGAGGTCTGTCCCAAGCCTGAGGCTGCTTCTGGTTCGGGGCATGAGCGCCTGAGGCTGATTCCCCCACAGACAAGTGTACATTCGGGACAGAAAATGATGACCTGTTGAACGCGAGCACCGGCAGGTGACAGCCTGCTGACGGTGAGCACCGGCAGGTGACGACCTGACTGCGAGCACCAGCAGGCAGGTCCTGGAGGCGCAGGAAGCGGGGCGGCCGGCGTGAGGGTCCCTGAGTGCAGGTCCCATCCTGAGGGCAGAAGCAGGGGGTCCACAGGGGAGGCCAGGACTCTTCCCCGGGGGCGGGGGTGAGGCCACGAGATGGGGACCTGGCTTCAGCCAGAGCTGCGACCCTCTGAGCAGCTCCCTCAGGACCCACGGGAGCCAAATACTCTGCTCGGTGGGGCTTCGCACCCTGTACTGGGGGTGGGGACCCTCAGGAGGACAAGCGGGGAGGTGGAGAGTTTTAGCTAAAAAAATCCCCACTTTTAGTCCTGTCTTTGTCAGAGCGACGAGCTGTCAGTGGCGACAGGCAGACAGGCCGACGTGCCCGAACATGCTGACCAGGAGCTGGGGCAGCAGATTCGGGAAAGACAAAGCCCCGCTTGGTGGGCGCCTCTGAAACAGGCAGCTGCGGAAATGTGTTTTCCTGCCACTGGGGAGTGCGGCTCCGTGAGGTGGGACCAGGACCCAGGAGCGGAATGGAAGTTGGGAAAGAGCATGTGGGAGCCGTGCAGACAGCCGGCGTCCAGCAGCAGGTGCGCGAGCCGGCGGGGCTGTGCGTCCGAGGCGTGTCGTCACCGCCTCACAGGGCGCACAGTGCAGGCGCCGTGGGTGCCTGACCCCTGGGCTGCTAGAGAAGGCTGCGTTGGGACCTGGCACCAAACCTTCTCCAGGGCGCCACCCAGCGGCTCTTCCTGGAACAGCTCGTATGCTGCGGGCCCTCCCTGGCGCTCCCACAGCTGGGGGTGACGGCCCAGCCCCGAGCAGACAGGCGGACGCGGTGTTGACCTTGACGGTTGCCCCCCCTCCCCCGCCCCGGGGCCAGCACGGCTCCCTCCCGACCGGTCCGCGGGCCGGCCCCACGGGCAGTGTTCAGAAAGGGAATTCGAGAGCCAGGAAACTGCCGACTTCTTCATGGCCCCATGAGAAAAGGCTTCGGTTCCCACCTTAGCTCTGCCATGTTCCTTTGGGCAAACCGTCGCGCCTTTAAGAATTCTTATATGGAAAACGTTGGGGGACCTGGTTGCGACGACCGAATGACCTCGGGTAAACAGTGCCAGCCCCACAGTGATGCTCAGAAACCGAGGTCCCCCCATCTCCCCACTGGCTGAGGGTGGGATAGGTTCTGGAAGCCGGAGCCTTCAGCCCCGACAGTCTGGCCTCCGCCAGAAGCTCCGTGCGCCCGACACTCCTGTGCCCGAAGCCTGTTTAACAGGGAAGAGACGGTCAGCGTCAGGGAGCCTCGGGCCACAAGGGCGGACGGCGTTCTGACGTTTGCGGCTCCACAGAAGCCATCTAAGGAGCAGTCCCCAGACCCAGAGGGCCGCAGCCGGCCAGGTCTGCTGGGAGGGGGCAGCCTTCTCTGTCTCCTTCTCCTCCAGACCGTGCCTCGATGCACCCCAGCCCATCTTCCCACACCTCAGCCCCCACCTCACCAGGGCCCTGGCTTCGCCGAGAGGGGCTCTGGCTGCCTGGGGACAGAGGCCCACTCCCATCCCGGCCTTCGGCCTCCTCTGGGACCCGCTGGTGTCAAGGCCGTGCCTGAGGCCTCCCAGTGATGCCCCGATGTTGAATTGTCTTCCTCTGGCCCCTCAAAATGGGGCAAACCCCGCCTCCTCCCAGAAGCCTCCTGACCCGTCCCTCATCCCAGGCTCCAGGTCCCCCCTCTCGGCTCCCACAGGCCCGTCCTGCTCTAAGCCAGGGCCCCTCCCGTCTGATTTGGATGGCTTTCCTGCGGGCGGGGCCTGGGTTTGACTCAAACTGGGGAACTGCCACATCTGCTCAGCATCACAGTGCAATAATCATTTGCTCGAGAGTGGTGACGAATGCATTCGAGGCTCGTTGGATAAGTTAAACAAGGGCTGCTTTAAACGGTGCGTCATAGGTGTTGGCCGAGCTCTTCTGGACGTGTACCCGTGAGGAATCAAACCCGTGATGCAGGGAGAAAGGCAGGCCTGGCGGCCGGGGCGGGGTGCAGGCGGCCGGGGTGGGGTGCAGGCGGCACCTCAGACACCAGGCCCTCTGCTTGGATTAAGCCACTCTGATCAGCTCCATTCGAAATGCAGTTATTTTCAAAAGTTTGTCTTTAAAAGCCTAGAAGGGACACTGCGTCGGGTGAGGGACTGTCTAAAGGTTCTCGATCGGTTCTGAAGTTCTGTGAATGTCTGACAACTTTAAAAATTCACAGATGTTCACTGAGCACTTACCAGCGCCTGGCATTTTTCTAACCGCCCGCAAAGAAATTAGCTCATTTAATCCTAAACACAGCCAATGGTCCTGTCACGTCTCCACTTTACAGAAGGGGGAACTGAGGCCTTGAAAGCATGACTTGCCCCAGGCCACACGGCTGGGGAGGCCCATGAGCGAGCGGGGCGGACCTGGCAGGACTCCTGTGCTCCCTGCTGTGCGTGCTGCATCTGAGCTGACACAGGACACGTTCTCTTTAGACCGGAGTCCGGTGCACCGTGTAGAGTTTAGAAGGTGTTTCTACTAAGGAGTTTTGAAAACTGCTGAGCCCAACTTCCCATTTCACCGCTGGAGACACTGACACCTGGGGACAGGGTCTGAATGGCTCCTGGTCACGTGGGGGTTTGTGATGGACGCAGAAGTAGAACCTGGTGTCCAATGCCCAATCTGGGACAATCCCCAAGAGACCAGCCACCCCTGCTCCGAGCAGGTGGCTCTGCTGGGGTGCTTGCATGATGCCCCAGGGGACATGGGTCGAGCAGATCTCAGTCCAGTCCTGGCTCTGCTGCTAGTATTTGGTGTGACCACCTCCTCGGTTTGGAGCTGTCACAGTACCTGTCATGCAGGATGAGGATGTCACCTGTGTTTGCTCAGAAAATGCCAGCAGCTCCCCCAGTCCTGACAACCAGTGCTGAATCTGGGGGGGCAAAGCTGAACTGTGATGCATTTCATGGCCTCACAAATCTCTGGGGTCAGAGGTGACGGGGCTGACCTTTAACCTCATCTCACAGCGCAGAGGGATGCTGCCCTCTCGAGCAGTTCCCAGCATGCCCTTCGGGAAGCAGGGATGCAGGCAGAGCCAACCGGGTGGAGGGACAAACACGATGAGTGAACACTGTCGGTCTCTGAACACAGGATATGGATTCACAAACATACAGCCACCTAACCGTGGATGAACAGGTACACGCCATTTCATCAGCGATTTGAGTTTCAAAACAATCGTGATCATGCGCATCTCACACGGTTAGGCCCGCGTGGACAGCTGGGCAGTCACGGCCAGGAATGCTGGGGCCCCCGGCCTGGAGGCGGTGCTGGGTCTGCTCAAAGGCAGGCGGCCCGCCAGCTCCTGACGCTGTCCGAACTGCACTTTGTGTAAACAGTGCGAGTGTTGACACCTGCTGGTTCTCAGGCACGTGCAAGAAAGGACTTCTTTTAAACAAAGAAGAAAAGGACAGATTTTCGTCGTAGGTTTTTATTTCAGAGGCTCTCTGTCACAAACATGGCCAAGCTTCTAAAAGCACTGGCGGAGATGGCCCAGGCTCTACTTCCTGGTCCCAGCGGAGACAGGCGAGACCCTCGCAGAGTCACCCACCACCCACTAGACAGAAGTGCGAGGCAGGCTGTGCACAGTGCCCAGGTGGACGTGCTGTGCCCAGAGCCGCCACTTCTCTTGGCCCTGACCTAGATAGCATCGGGTGGGGCCCTGACCACAGGACCGCTGGGTGGCTCTGCCCGGCCCCCAGGCTCAGCAGACAGCTGTCCAGGCTCAGGAGGAACCAAATAAATAGGAAGTGTTATCACTGAGTTCACACAGCAGCACATTCAGAAAACAAATCTGACAGCAGTAAGGGTCTGGGGGTGCCTGGAGGGTGTGGGGGAGAAGGGAGGACGTCACTGCAAAGTGCTCTCAGGGCACAGGAATCCTGTCCAGCCTGGCACACCAGCTTCGCTCTGAAGGGTCAGGACGCTGGGTCCAGACTGCGTGCAGCTTCCGATGACACTGGGCATATCCCAAGTGACAGAGCTGAAGCCCGGGGAGGTGAGCAGGCTGCACAGGACCGAAGCCTTGCACGTGCACGCGGGAGCCAGACACACGCACGCACGCAGTCGGCATTGGTGTCAGACACGCACAGACGCACGCACAACAGCGTTGGTGTTGCACACGCATGCACGTCAGCGTTGGTGTCGCACACGCATGCACGTCAGCGTTGGTGTTGCACATGCATGCACGTCAGCGTTGCACACGCACACGTACATCAGCGTTGGTGTCGCACACGCGCACACATCAGCATTGGTGTTGCACACACACACATCAGCACTGGTGTCACACACGCATGCATGCCAGTGGTGGTGTTGTACACACATGCACGTCAGCGCTGTACACGCGCACACACATCAGCGTTGGTGTCGCACACGCGCACACATCAGCATTGGTGTCACACACGCATGCATGCCAGTGGTGGTGTTGTACACACATGCACGTCAGTGTTGCACACGCGCACACACATCAGCGTTGGTGTCACACGCAGGCACGTCAGCATTGGTGTTGCACACGCACACATCACCATTGGTGTTGCACACGCACACATCAGCGTTGGCGTCGCACGCACACTCGCACACCAGCGTTGGTGTCGCACTGTCGGGCTGGGCGGCCGCACGGGAGGCGGGCCCGGCGGCCGGGGCCGCGGCCTCACACGGCCGACAGGAAGGGGAAGAAGAAGAAGTCGAAGGCGAACTTGACGGCGCCGTGCACGGTGCTGCGCCAGTCGTGCTCCAGCTTCACGTGCCGGTGGGCGGGCGAGAGCTGGGCCATGCAGTTCAGGCAGCTGATGGCCTTGAGCTCGAACACGGGCCACTTGCTGCCCAGGCGGCCCTCGAGGACGGTGCTGAACTCGACGAGGCTGCCCTGGCGCAGGCTGAGCAGCACGTCCTTGAACTCGCCGCTGGCCCGCAGCACGATGTCCTTGGTGACGTCGTCCTCCTCCGGGCCGCGGGCGCCGTTGGCGCTGAAGGGCATGCCCACCGTGATCTCGAACTTGTAGCGGTCGAACTTCTTGATGTGACAAGGGTGCTTGGCCAGGAGCTTGAGGCGGCAGAGCTCCTGCTCGGCCGTGGAGGCGCCGCCGGGGCTGCAGGCGGGGTAGGCCTCGCCGTACAGGCAGCGCACCCAGTCGCCGACGAAGAGCGGCAGCACGCGGACGGCCGCCTCCGCACTGTTGTCGATGTCCGTCACGCGCACGTACTTGAAGCGGCCCGTCCACGTGACCCGGTGGCCCTCCAGGTGGCTGCACAGGATCTGCGTGCGTGCCATGTTGGTCTCCTTCCAGGCCCGCGGCCCGCACAGGAAGCCGTACTGCTGCCAGGTCAGCGTGGAGTTGTACACCTTCATGCCCTCGGACCGGTACACGTAGAACCAGCAGAAGAGCACGATGGCCGTGAGCCACACCAGGATGAGCTTGACGATGGAGCTCCGCGTCAGGGACTTGACCATCTCCACCACCGAGAAGTTGGCCTTGGTCCACCAGCGGAACAGCAGCGGGACACTGCAGACCACCGCGGTGACTGCGATTTTGGTGAGCTCCAGGGACACGAACCAGCGGGCAAACTGCACCACGCCCATCAGGGCCAGGCCGGCCACCAGGATCGGGAGGGCAAAGAGGAAGAGGAAATAGCCGATGGACGCGCGGACCAGCCCCAGGCCGGTGGACTCGAGCAGGATGGCCACAGAGAGCTCGCACCACATGAAGCAGACCAGGTAGGGGACCAGGTAGCAGTAGGTGCCCTTGAAGTTCCGCAGCTGGGCCATGCGGAAGAAGAGGAAGAGCAAGTAGACGTAGAGCAGGCAGGGGACGCTGACGTTCAGGACGACGACGTGGCCGATGGGCACGGTGAGGAAGGTCTGGCCCAGGAGCTTCAGGGGGCGCCAGTCGAAGGGCAGGGTGGGCAGGAGGGAAAGCAGGCCGGCGGCCACCTCGGTCACCAGCGCCCTCCGGGTGTAGGGCTCGGCAGAGGTGCTCAGGCTCATGTAGCTGGTGACGGTGAAGAACACGGACACGACGGCCAGCTCCGAGCAGGGGACGCAGTCCTTGCTGGCGACGGGGAAGGAGAAGATGACGAAGAAGACGGACAGCAGGAAGTGCACGTAGGGCTCCAGGTGGTTCCAGCCGAAGTTGCCCTCGGCCTGCTCCACGTCCAGGTTGGGCTCGAAGCGCAGCAGCAGGCCCGTGAGCGTGTAGAAGCTCTCCCAGGCCTTGCTGTCCTGGAAAACCTTGAGGGTGCAGATCACCATGGAGACGAAGGACAGGTAGAAGACGACCAGGGGCACAAAGAAGGCGAAGAAGTCGATGGTCAGGTTGCTGATGATGAAGAAGAAGATGAGGGCGTTGATGTGGTGGGTGGGGACGATGGTGGACAGCCAGTGCATGCCCGCCCGGGAGGCCATGTCGATCAGGTACTCCTTGATCTCCATGATGGCGTGCAAGGGGAACTTGACCACCTGCGGGGAGGAGGGGCGAAGCTGGGAGCCGGAGCCAGGACGGGGCCCTGCTCACTGTCGCCTCCTCAGTCCCCGGGAGTCACCCCGGCTCGGAGCCAATGACACACTCCCGCTCTCTCCGACTGCCGGCAGCAGTCCCCGCAGGCGCTTCCGCCTGTAACGCCCGCTCCTGGTGGGACCGTCCTCCGTGCGCGAGTCCCTGAGGGCCCTCCCTCACCCCCCCCAGTTCCGTGGGTCCTAGTCCCCCGCCCCTGACCTGCTGGGTTTCCAGACTCACACGACTCACACCCACAGGTGCTGGTCTCCCTGGGACACCGTGAGTGCCTGCGGGAACCCGCCCAGCTCCCTCCTCCCTGCTCCCTCCGCCCTCCCCACGGGGCCTCCTGCTATAGGGATGACAGAGCCCTGTGTGGGAGCCACCTCTCTCCACGGCAGGGACCTCAGCCCCCGCTCCTCAGCTCCCCATCCACTTGGGGACGGGGACGGACACGGACACGGACACTTCACAAGCCCACGCTGGGCCCCCAGGAGTGGCGCTGGGAGCAGGGACTCCAGAAAGGGAGGCCGTGTGCGTGTGAAGAGTGGGGCTCAGCCCGCCTTTGCCGAAAGGAGAGGATCCGACTGTGACCGCCGGGTGAGATGTGTTCGCTAGTGTCAGGAGACCCGACGAACCCGCTGCCTGCCACCGCCCACCCCGGTACACACCCACCTCCCACGCTTAGAACAGACACACGACCCCACACGACCCCATTCAAAGCCCCTTCCCCGCATTAGGACCCACCCTTACAACCTGCTCCCAGTGCCGAGGGCAGAGGTAACCGCTGGCCTTGACCATGGCAAAGGATGTGGGGGAGACGAGTTCAGGGCCGTCTCAGGGAGGAGGTGGGGGTGGTTCTGCCATCCAGGTTTTAGCACCATGGCGTGGAGGAAGGCGGGGGTCTGGGTGCGTCTGGAGGGGCAGAGGCCAGGGAGTGGGTCCTCAGAGGACCACCCACGTGTGCAGGCGGGGAAGCCTGGCAGTGTGCGCAGAGCCCATCTGAAGGACTTGGTGACGGAGCCCCCATCAGCGCCCAGGTGAGGTGGGCAGCACCACCTCCACCCATGCCTTGGGGACAGGCCTGCCCACCCTGCTGGAGAGCTGAGGAGGAGGGGTCTTGGGTGAGTATAACTGGGTGACGATACCGGGATGTGACTGTCATTTGCCCAAGAGCCTTGGCTATCAACTCGAGATGACCAGGACACCTGGAGGCAGCCAAGCGCATGAGTTCCCACACGTGGGCGCTCACAAAGCGGCTGTGCTGACACACGTGTATGTATGACGAGCTGCTCTGTTTGCGACGGCCCACCTACTCCGCTTTATAACAAGCAAGAAAGTGAACAGATGACTAAGCTGACGGCTGCCCCGCCTGGAGCCTCCCGCAGGAGCCAGCACGCGCTCACCCGTGTGGGGATGGGTGGCAGGGAGCACCGGGCACCGCAGTGAGAACGTGACCCCTGCCAGGGAGCAAACCAGCACCTGTGAGAACGCGCCTGCCCCAGGTCCCCCTGGGAGGGGCCCCTTCAGAACGGGCCGGACCGGCCTGGACCAGTGGGGTGAAAACCAACAACCAGGGCGTGGAGCCCACGTGTGCCTGGCTACGTGGCCTGCTCAGCCAGCCCCTGTGGAGGCGCCTCGTACAGCGGGGCAGGCGAAAGGCGCCCACAGCTACGACTGCTCACCCTCGTTCCCTGCCCAGCCAGCACCGGGCGGCCTTGAGGGAGTGTGCAGCCCAGGCGGCGGCGCCTTCCCTGAACCTAACCCTGGCCTGATGTCTGGAGCCACGCACGCACTCCGAACACACAACCGCACGGTGGAGAAGACTTCGAAAAGACGACGACACTTCTAGGATGGGGCGTCCGCGGGCGCCCGGCCTCTGCCTGCACACCGCGGTGCCTGGCACAGGCCCCGACTCGGCCCCCGGGAGCCCCCGCCTAAGCCCTGCCCCCAGCAGCCCCACGGAATCGCGAGGCTGCAAACGTTCCTGCAGAGGAAGTCCAAACAAACAGACACACTCCTCTTTGACCACGAAAGAAATTTTTTTTAAAAAAGTCGGGAGCCCAGTTCTATGAAAGGACAGAGCGCTCCGGCCAGGCCTGAGGTCAGCAGCCGCTCCAGACACGCGCAACCGAGAAAATGGATGTCACGACCCGGCCGCGGTCCAGGGAGCCACCTTGACTAACCGGGGAGGCGGATGGCCCTTGCCCGGATCCTGCGTGGCCCTGAGCGCAAACGGTCACATGCACCTGCCATGAATTAGTGTGAAACAGTTAGGATTTTAAAACGTTGCTACATTTGTTTTTGAGAGGGCCTCAGCTGTCACGAAAGGCTCAAGAAGCGCTGGGAGTCTGGAACATTCTGTGGGAGTCGCTTCGGCTCACAAAGAGGCGCCTGTCATCTTTCGCTTCGGGGGCACAAGAACCCCCAGAGCACGCTTCTCTCTCTCTGTTCCCCGAAAGGCTATTAAAAGCTGGCACAGCTTTCAGTTTGAGGAGATGCCTGTTATGACTCATTCTCTCTCTTGCAGAAGACTCGGAAAGAGACAGCTGTAAAGGGGTCAAAGCGCTCTGACCGCTCCCAGCGCTGGAGGGGGACTCGGAGCCTCGCGTCCCTCTCGTCAGAGCCCTTTCGACCTTCTAGATACTTCACAGCGCCGAGCTCATCACCCCTGAGTAGGATGACATGACTCACTGTCCAAACCAGGGTGCTTTCGAAAGCAGGCATTGCCAGCAGTTACTCTGGGGCAACGCGGGCTCGGACCCCTATGCCACAGCCACCTATGCCACAGCCACCTGGCCTGAGGTGGCCTGACGCTTGCCACACGTGCCGCGTGCTCCTGGCCTGTGCCCTGCCACCTGCTGCTGCTCGCTGGCTGAGGCAGTGGCACGAGCGTGCCCCTTCCTTCAGACTGGCACAGCCGCCTCCTCGGCATCCTGTCCACACCTCCCGCATCTCTCCCCGAGCCCTGACGGATCTGGATGAGCTGGCACGCCTGGAGGACCCTCCGGTCTCCCCGGCATTAGCACTTCGCTTTGGGGGAAAGGCATCTTTGAGAAGCACACCTCCATTCGGTACTGGAAACGAAAAATTTTTCAACATGACGAAGTCTAAATGAAAGTCGGACTCCTGTGCGTGGCGCCTGCTCCCCCACGGCGTTCGCGGAGAAAGGCCCAGGACGGGGTCCGTGCACCCGCCCCGACGGCGCCCTGGTTCGGAGCCTGAGTCTGAGCGGGTCCCTGCGTGGGGACGCGTCCTGGCGGCCGGGAGGCTCCTGTGACCGCAAAGGCTTCCCGCCGGCCCCTCCCCAGGAGCGCCAGGGTGCTCCGAGGGCAGGTGGGCATCCTCGGGGGCGAGGCCCTCTGGGGGCCTCCAGCCGGCTCACCTTCAGGCGCAGGGGCAGATCCTCGGGGCTCTTGCCGGCCAGCTCGTCGTCATCGTCATCCTCCAGGAACAGGTTGGCAGGGATGATGCCCTTGGCGTACTTCTTGGTGATCTCCACGAAGTCGTCCAGGGCTATGTAGTTCTTGGCTAGAGCACGAGAATGGAATGGGTCTGCCATACCCCGAGCACGCTGTCGCCCCGCGTGGACCGGCGAGGCAGGGACAGAGGCTGACACACCTGTCTCTGTTGTGGGTGGGCGGGCGAGGACCAGGCCGATGCGATGGGGAAGGAGGGAGACGGGCTGCCGAGCGCTGGCCTCCGCGGCCCCTCCACAGCTCGGCGACATGCCAGCCCTCCCTGCAGCATCCCCGCTCCTAGGTCTTCATGCCCAGGGACTGCGGCTCCCAAGCCCAGCTCGGAGGCCTGTCCTTCAGCCACCTCTACCGCCAGCACCTGTCTGCCACCTTCTCGTCCCCAGCCCTGGCCTCTCACAGCACTGGTGCCAGCTGCCCAGCAGCCCGGCCACCCTGACCACGCCATTCACCACACGTCTGCCAAGTGCCTCCTACGTGCAGGGCACTTTCCTGAGCACTGGGGATGCTTGGAAAGGGGGAACACACCCGGTGTGTGCCGACCCGGGCTTCCAGTCCATGGGGAGTCACGCCCCAGGAGGCTGGACGCGCACCGCAAGCCACGTCCATGTGGAGCGCGCCTCCCGCCGGCGGAGAGGGTGCCCGGGGGGTGCAGGGAGCGAACGGACACAACCGTGAACAGGCTGCCTGATGCAGGGCTGGCCCTGCCTCGTCTGTCCGTCACCGGGGTTTTCTGAGGCCTCCCGTGTGGGGGGGCTGTGTCCTAGGAGCTGGGGACCCAACAATGAGCTGATCACGGAACCCAGCAAGTAAATGGCTACTTGCCTCCTCACCCTTGCTGATGGCTCGGGCACCCAGGAAGTACCCACGCCCCGCGCTTCTCTGTCCTGGGGGGCCTTCGTGCTGCGGCCCTCCACCCACATCTGTCTCCCCGATACAGTATGCGCTCCCGAGGGGCAGGGTCCAGCACCAGTGCCCAGAACGGACACCCAAACCACAGCCCCAAATGGAATGGACAGAAAAGCCCTCATGCCTCCAGACCCTGGGGGCCGAGGCCTGGACGCCACAGGGAGGAGTGGACGTGCCCACGGCGGCGGGCGTGACGGCCATACTCACACTCGCTGCTGACCAAGCGCTCCAGCACTCGCCTCTGCTTCTGCAGTGACTTGGGGACAGGGCCTGGCTGTGTCCCTCCATCTGTAGGGGACAGAGTAGATCGAGGATCAAGGCAGGCTGACTGCCCCCTCACGCTCTAAAGCCCTCCAGAAACCAGCCCATGCACTCCTGGGGGGCCCCGAGTTCTGGGGACTGCAGGGCCTGGGGCGTCCATGTAGCCCCTGGTGGACACGGCTGGGGCCAGTCCCCTGGGCAGCCACCTCGGCCTCCGCCTTCTCGGGTAAGTCGGTGCCCTGCAGGGCATTCCCATTCTGCTGGGCACAGCCCATCATCCCACGGACACAGTCAGAGCACGGGACACCATGCTCTCTGGTCAGTGTAACCTGTCCCCAACACCTCTGCTGGCCCTGTCCCTTGGTGTGATTTTCCCCTAAAGAGGACTGTGAGCTCCCCAGGGATGAGGGCCAGGCCCTCTGAGCGTCCCCAGCCCCGGTGCTGAGGGCTCCGTCCCAGTCTGTTCAGTGAATGGGCACAGCCAGGACCAGAACATTCTGCTGTTGCATCAGCGTCCATCCACCTGTCGCACCCAGCTGGGCGAGCTCCTCCTGCATGCCACCCACTGAGGCGTGCCTTTACAGGGGCACGTCAGGGAGGGGCCAGACGGGAGGGCGGAGGGGGGCAGCAGGTGGGGGCTGGGCTGTGCCACTGCAGGGTCCTCTGGGGGTCCATACGCGTGACCCTAACTCTGTCACATTAAGCATATGCCTGAGCCCCAGGAAGGACTCTCCCTAAACATTATAGGCGACCCATGACATCCCCACAAGAAGGTCTCTGGGGGCCCCTCCTCAGGCTCCCATAGGGAAGCCCCCCAGAACTCCAGCAGAAAGGCCCCTGGTGTCCCCTGGGAAGGCCCAGCACTACCGGGGGGCCACGTACCATGCTCGTTGACCTGGCCAACGTTCTCCAGCAGCTCGTACACGGCCACCTGCTTCTTCTTCTTGGGGTTGAGCTTCCAGTACATGACCAGGGCCGCCTTGCGCACGGCTCGCTCCAGGTCGGTCTCGGAGGAAAGCTGCTTCACCTCCTGCTCGTTCTCGGAGGTGATGCCTGAGAAACAGGAGGTGTTAGGGGCCTCGTCACTCCCACCTGGCAGCCGCGGTGGCACTCCGAGCCCTGGCCGGCTCTGCCTGCAGCGGTCTGGGAAGGGACTCACGCGAGAGTCTTTACAGGTACCTTTAAGTCATCAGGGCAGAAAAGGGCATCTGACCTAAAAGGACATCTGGCCAAAGTCCCCGTCGGCACCTACTCTGGGTTGGAGGCTCAGCCCGACCCAGACACTCGCCCAGCGTGCACTGCGGGCAGGTGAGGCCTTCCCAGCCTCCTGGCTCACTCCCCTCTCCCTTTTCGTCCTCACAAGGACCCCCTGAAGAAGGCACTACCACCCCCATGTTACAGATGGAGAAACTGAGGCACACAGGGGCGTCCTGGCTTGTCCAAGGCCAGGGCGACAGAGAGAGGCGAAGGCGGGGGGCAGGCCAGCCTCGCTGCAGTTCCTAGCAGACGCCGGCCCTCCTAAGGCGGCCGAGAGCGCTGTGCTCACACGTAGATGGTCCTCTGCCCACAAGGAGACACAGGCGCAGGTGTCACAGGCCGGGTCAGCGGCCATCTTGTCCTCCTCCCCTCCTACGCCAGGGCCACCAGATGCCACTCCCAGGGGGCAGGAGGGCTTGGGAATGAGGTTTGTTTTCTTTTTCCTTTTAAATATTTTCCAATTTTCTACCTGAGTGTGCATATTTCTTTTATTTGAGAAGCACTCTGTGAGAAGGTGGGGGGTCGGGGTGCGGCCTCCTTACACGCCCTCCTCCAGGTCCCTCACGGCCTCGGGGCACCGCTGGCTCTGACTGGAGCCATGGGGGCTGCACTGACCCCTCAGGCCAGCACAAGGCGTCTGCTCCAGAAAGGGGAGTTTGGGTTGGTGAGAAATTCTGGCTAACAAAATACTACCATTCTGCGTTTTCAAAGGCATCGGTCTAATTTCCACAGAAAACAGGTTCTATGTAATAAATAGAACTCTTAAAACATGATACAAAGCCAGAAGGAAACGTACTAAACCAGAGAGCACTTCGCTCAGGGTTTCAAGGTCGTGGGCATTTGGTACCTTTACTTTCTTTGTACGTTCGCGCTTCCTAAGAGACGCATAAAACATTTCTACGATCCGGAAAAAAACAGGCCATTAAGGATCACTCGGAATACACACTTTCATCTTTCTTCGAGGTCTGAACCTTCAAGAAGCACGCTTCTCCATGCCACCGGGGGCCAGCCGGTGACGTTGGGGAGGATAAAGTGACCACGCATGGCCAGGCTCCACCTCACTGTCCCCAGTGCCCCCCGGCCTGGCAGGGGGCGTCAGCACGTCTTCGCCGGCACGCGCTCCGGCTCTGCCACGGCGACACGGAGCTCCCTTGGCTCTAGGGTCTCCTCCCTGATTCGGATGAGAGCCCAGGAGGCACCTACTTGTAGACACTAATGGAAGCAAAGAGCCGCGGCCTCCGGGGTTAAACGCCCACGTCCCCGCCCTGCGTCCCGTGGGCTCCGGGAGCCTGTCTGAACGACAGCGCCACACAGGTCGACACAGGTCGACGTTTACTCAGCCGCACCACGGGCATCAGGCTTCCCCCTCGCTTCCGTTCCAGTTGTCACTCGGTAAGCAGCGCCGCGGCCCGTCTCACCCGGACCCACCAGACCCACCTCTTCTGTCCGCCAGGCACCGGCGGAGAAGCTTGACAGCCTCGCGCCGGCCCTGCTTGGCGGCCAGGGTCAGCCAGTCCACGGCGGTGCAGCTGTTGAGCTCCTCGTCCGCGTCGCCGGCCAGCTGCAGGTAGTGCTTCCCCACCTGCAGGAGAGACGGCGCTCCAGGTGTGCCCTGCAGCGGCTCCTCCTCCACGCCGGCCCCGACCAGCGCCCAGCGGCCCGGCAACCGTGAGCCTCCTGGACCCGCCCTACCCCCTCTCGTCCCCTCGGTCACCAAGAAGAAAGGTGGCAGGCACAGGGTCCCACTAGCTTCTGCGCTAGGCCGGGCCTGCCGGACCCTCAGGGCGCTTGCTCCTCACAAGACCTGAGGGTGCGGGACCCCTGCACGGAGATGAGAGGGCGGGTGGGGTGCCGAGGACAGGCAGGGACACGGAAGGCATCCTGGAGGGGGCGATCAGGACCAGGGAGAGGAGCACACGCTCCCCAGAGGGGTGGCGGGAGGAAAAACGGCTCGGCAAACGAGAAACAGACGGGGCCAGGCGCAGGGCAGGCGACACCGCGCAGCACCGGCTCCCTGCTCCCACGGCCACAGCGCTCTCGGCCAGGCCCGCCGCGTCCTCACCTCCGTCTGCGCCTTGGGGTCCCCGGCCTTGGCCTTCTCCAGGAGTTCTTCAAAGGGGGTTTCCATGTCTGCCTTCACGGGCCCTTTATCGTGGGAAAAACGGACAGACAGGTTGTCACGGAGCTGGTCCTGTCACTTGTCAGAGTGGACAGGACGCAGGAGTGAGCTTCAGGCCTGGAGCAGCTCCTCATGCGGAAATCAGGTCAGTGGTGTGAGAGAGGGTGCAGAGAGGACACCCCTCAAACCCCGCCCCCCACGGTGGAGCAAGGACAGCGGACGTGGTCGGCAGCAGCTCAGTCTCTTCGGTGGGCGTCCCAGGAAGGACGCGGGGCACAGGCCCGAGTGCCACCATTGCCCCTCGGCTCACTGCAGCTTGAACTACGGCTCCATAAAGGCTTGAGGCTCGGGTTTGAAAGCCCCTGACCTAAGTAAAGAACCTGCACCTCAATGTCCAGCGCCCCGATAAATGAACCAAATTCATGTTTTCTAAGACTGAAGTCCACATACACACGATTTCTGGAAGTCATATCAGTGCACATGCACTTCGAAATTTTATAAACACACGCACGCACGCGCACACACACACACGCACACCCACACACACACCCACACACACACTAGGGAATTATAACCGATTTCCCACATTGATCTGGCATTTCTGGAAGTCATATCAGTGCACATGCACTTCGAGATTTTATAAACACACACACACACACGCACACACACACACACACACACACTAGGGAATTATAACTGATTTCCCACATTGATCTGGGGTGAAATTTAGCGCTTCAATGGCTCCGAGGTCCCACCGCGGGGACGCGCAGGGTGCTGGGGCTCCCGTCTCCGTCTAGCGTGTTAGGTTATTCCCAATCCCCTTAATTTTATAAAATGGTGCCACAGACTGTTCCGTGCACACGTCTCTCCTCTGGGGGTCACCCTCCCAGCGCAGGCTCTCCAGCTGAATTACTAGGCCTGAGGGTCCCAACGCCGTGTGGCTCGTGCTGTGTGCTACTTTCTAAGGAGTGAGCCCTGCTTTCGAAAGCACCGTGTGACCACACTGACTGCTACACTCGCACCGGCAGTGGGTAGCATGACAGTAAAACATTTCTGAAAAACAAACAGACCATTTTCACTCGACCCTTCGGGGACTACGCCTGACACCGTGCCTCCGCCCACGGCTGTACCCCGCCTCGGTGAGCAGCAAGACGCCGCAAAATGACGTGTGGGATGTGGCTGGAGCACTGCAGACCACATAGGAGGTGCTTATTAGGCACTAACAGACTTTCACTCTCTAGAAGTTTCTGGAAACAGAAGGCAGAAAATAAAGGGCATAAGCACAGTCCCCAGTGGTGCCGGCCGGGGCCCCGCCTTCCCTGTGGGCCCATCCGGGCCTCCGGCCAGGCTCGGACCAGTTCTGCAGCAGGGATGCTGCCAGCCTTCGTCAAGGGCACCAAGTCTGTGCGGCACAGGGCTCCAGGAGGAGGGAGCAGGGGCAGTGGCCTAAGGTGACACAGCCTTCAAAGCTCGAAGGTGGAGGGATCACATCCAGTTTGGAGAGGGCGCGGGAGGTGGGGCTGGGGACAGCTCCCAGGGGAGGATTCTTCATGAGATCTCACAGGTCAGGCACAGGCGCAGGCACAGTGGCCCTCGGGAAGGACAGCTCACATACAGCATGACACCTTTCCCTGCAAAGATGGACTGGGCTTCTTCCTCAGAGTCCAAGGGGGCCTCGCCTGGCGTGGCCCTGGATCCTAGTGCCCCCTGAGTCATCAAGGTCAGTTCTCCCTTCTGGCTGCCGGCACCCTCAAGCCTGGAATGTACTTTCTGGCCGAGGGCTCGGACTTGAGAACGGAAGAATGCAAAGCCTGCAGCAGGCTCCAAGCCGGGGCCTCCCGCGGGCTCACGGGCGGGCGGGAGAACACACGGCGGGAAATCTGACCCGCCTGTGAGTCTGCCTTTAGCATCAGTGCTGTGTGAGCTAGAGCCTTTCTCAGTCTACCGGTTAACACCCCCAACGGGGCGGTCCATGAAGAACGAGGCCTGCGCTGGGTGACAGCCCGGGGCTGGCCCGCACGGGCGTGACCTGCACTCCCCGCACGACGCCGGATTCGCAAGTCCATTTCTTTTCTTTAAAATTCCAGCAGACGTCTTTTGGTTAAAAAAGATTATTCTAGTCTGCGATTAACTTTTCACAGAAGTGTTTCACAGCCTGACATCTGAAGAAGTCTCCCCCATGTATGGGCTCTGAAACACACACCACACCCCCATTATTCCAGTTTCTGTCTGGCACAGGCAGAAATACTTCTATGACCACCGAAATGCTGGGTTCATGCTGTGGCCCAGTCAGAGGGTGTGGCTTCTCCATCCAAGGAGGAGCTTTCGCACAGGTCAGAGGTGAAACCCGACGGGCTTACTGCTCAGCACCGAAAAGAACACGGCCAGAAGCTGGCGGCGTCGGCGCAGACACCACGGCCACCAAACACACGTGGTCCTTGCCTGACCCCCACCCCCAATCCTGGCTTTTTCTGATGCCAGCACTCTGACGTCCGTTTTAGGGACCCACCCTCTCCTACTCTTGGTCCTCAAGGTCTGGTGGCCGTGCTGCAGGCCCACCTGGCCCGTCTGAGGGCTCTGCCTCCCCGATCACAGTGCTGGTCCAGGGGCTGAGGCAGACCTGTCTGGGCAGTGGGCCTGTGCTGAGTTACTAGAGACAGGCATCCTCCTGCTGAGTGTCTGCTGAAGGACACCAGCTTGAGCCTGGGAGGGCCGCCCGTGGGGACAGCCAAGCTGAGAGGGAAGGTACACGGGAAAGCAGAGTTGAGGGGCAGGGGCAAGATTCCTGGTGTCACCTCAACCCCCGCATCTAGCCGTGCATGAAGCCAGTATACTCTAGGGCAGCAGTCCCTGACCTTTTTGGCACCAGGGACTGGGCTCCTATGAGCATCTAACACCTGATGGTCGGAGGCGGAGCTGAGGCGGTGATGCTGGCGCTGGGGAGCGGCTGCAAATACAGATGAAGCTTTGCTCGCTCACCTGCCGCTCGCTTTCTGCTGTGCGGCCCGGTTCTGGTACTGGTCCGTGGCCCAGGGGTTGGTGACCCCTGCTCTAGACTACAGATCTATGAGACTAACAAATCCCCCGCCATCCCTGTGTTTTGCTTGTTGATTTACATGGTGTGTCTGTGTCACCTGCAACTGAAAAGGTCCCAACTCTCATTTTAGGAAGCCTTATCAATCACAAAACAGCAAGAATTAGAACCTGTGGCCTCGGGAAGGGCTCCTCACCAGGCCCCTCAGCTTTCAATATTTACCTCCGTGGATCTCACGCACTTGACAGATTCACGCAGCCACGCTGAGCTGGTAGTGCCCTGTCTCTTCCTCAGGGCTATCTAGGTGATAAGCCCATCACCGTTTTCGTGCTGGACCCTGGACAGTGACCCCCAGCTTCCACCAGCCTTTCTGGGGACAGTCTGTGTCCGGTGGGTCTGACCCAGCTCCATCCCCAGGTTCCGGCACAGTGGACACAACCTCCTCGGCCCCCACCCGCCGTCTGGGACCAAGCTCTGCATCCCACCGCGGCACCGCCCCCCGGGGCTCCAGCTAGACCTGAAGTTGGCCTGGCTCCCTCTGCTCCCTCTCCACCCACCCGCCGCTGCCTCGTGCTGATCCCCCACGGGCGCCCACGGGCCATCGCAGTGGCCAGGTGGCTTTGTCCTTGATGTAACAGATCATGTCATCCCTCTGAGCTGAACCCTCTAGCTCCCCCCAAAAACACCCATTCTCCTTGTCTTGAACCTTGAGGCCCCCTTGGCCTGGCTGACCTCTTGACCCCACACTCTGACTCCTGGCCCAGGGCCCCGTCAGCCTCACAGCTGGAGTCTCCATCGTCCTCGACTCCCCGCCATTCTCCCCCTGGAGGGCGGAGCCCTGCCGGTCCTGCCGCTGGGCAGGCCCTGGGTCGATGCTGGGTGCACGCTTCCCGGCAGGCCGCACCCTGACCCAAGGGTTCCAGCCACCATGCCTGTCCGTGGCTCTGCGGCTGCCTAGGTGAGCACTGGCTCAGCACCGACAGCGGGAGGCCGTCCTGCGGGCAGCAGTCCATCTGCCGTGACCTGCCAGGGTGGGCAGAGCGGGCACCGCGTGGCCGTGGGCGCCTGCCCGGGACGCGGATGCTCCTGCACGTCTTTCTCTCTTGCCCAAGGTCCCTGGAGGGCAGCCTGAGCCTCCACCCGTCACCAGGGCCTGGCCAGAGATAACTCTGGGGCCAGCCAACCAGGTCGGGCTCAAATCCCAGCCATCTCTGCTTTGCTCGCCTCTATGACACAGGGCTCCCTGGAGAAAGTGTCCCAAGACACTGGGCACACGCTAGCACTTCATGTGTGCTCACGGCTGTCACTGGCAGCCAGTCACAGCAGGTGCTCACGGTCTGTGCTCAACCCCCACTTTGCCCCTCACCAGCTGGGGGCCCAGGGTCATTACCTAACCTTCCCCTGGGTTTTCTCGTCTGAGAAATGTCAGTGAAGGGAGTCAACATAGATAACGACTAAAGTGGCGTCTGGCACAGAGACTGTTATCAACATCCGCGCTCGTCGTAACCTATCGGTGCTTAACTGATGCTCCTCACAGCTTTGCTCGATGAGCAGGTAAGTTAATGAATTAAAACTGACCCGAAAAGCCACTCTCGGGTGGGTGCTCTCCGAGCTGTGCGGGGCCTGCAGGGTGGGGATTGCGGAGTCCACATCAGTGACCAGCGACAACTCAGAGCAGCTGGCAAGTGACACGGCACGGCCCAGTGTGGGGGGCTGGGACCCCAAGGTTGCCAGCCTGTCCAGGGCTGGTTCAACCTCCCCCTCCACTCTCCTCCCCTCCCCTCCCCTCCCCTCCCCTCCTTTCGGGGGCAGAAGCCAAACAAACCACAGCTGTTTCCTGATCCTCCTTATCTGAACCTTACAGTTGTGACTCGTCCTCCGGGGCTGTTTTGCGTCAACCAGATTGAAACCAAGCAGGTTCCCAGCCCTGGTCTTTGCCCTGTGGCCGTGAGGCATCTGTGGCTGGGCCGAGATTCTGGGTCAGGCCCTGGCCTGCCCAGAGGCTTGGGGACAAAGCGGAGAATGCAGGCATCTTTGAAGGACACCGACGATCACAAGAGCCCAGGTCGGGTGCCGGCCCCACGGGAAATGCACCGCGAGCCTCGAGCCCGGAGGTCCCCACGGCTCTACTGGGAGGGGCCGGTGCAGGACAGGAGACTTGGGTCGCCTGTGCACCCTCAGTAGCTGGTCACTTGGACAAGTCTGTGCCTCGGTTTCCTCAGTTCTACATGGGGGTAACAACAGAGCCTCCCTCCCGGGTGGCCGTGAACAGTCACATGAGGCCCGGGGGACAGTGGCACCCACAGCGGGTGCTCGGCATGGGTCTGGCGCCTCTGCGGGGTTGGTGGTGGTGAGAATGACACAGGCCAGATGTACCGGGAGGTGCTGGGTAAATAAATGGTCAGAAGGAGAAACGGTGGCACTGGCGACGTCCTCTCAAAGGTCACGGGGAGCCCGCGCCCCTGCGTGCAAGCGTCCGTGGAGCTCGTGGCAAGGCGCGAGCCTTTCCACACGTGACCCCGAGCCGTGGAGGGGTCTCACTCACTCTGGGCACCTCGGGCTCAGGCTAGACACACAGCTTTCCCGCCCGTGACCCCTCTTTCCCCGCCACCACTTGTCACCTGGGACGTCTGGCGCTGTCCCCCTAACCCCCACCCCTGGCAAGGCCATTGCCGCCGTATGGCCCCGGCCCCGCCATGCCCTCTCCCAGGCTAACTCCCGCTCAGCCACCCTCTCCCTCCAGACAGCGGGCTTCTGCTCCCCAGCTCCAGGTCCGGGGCAACCTTGGTGCGCCCCAGGCCGCATGCTTCCCTCTACCACCCACAAGACTGTGGCCTCTTTGGAGGCTGGTCCGGCTCACCTGTGCCACCCATGCCCACTCGGGGCTGGCACAGGGCTGTGCCCAGTGAGCGGCGGTGGACAGAGGGTGTGCCCGCCCTGTGCCCCTCTCAGTGTCCGTGAGGCAGCCAGCAAGGTGCCTGGCTGTCCTGTGCCACTAGGTCCTCGCTGTCTTGCTGCTGCCCTGGGAGGCGCCCCCTGGGGGGATAGTCTGGGGGGTGGAGACCTGCGGAGGCCCAGGGATGGACTGAGGGTGGGGGCAGCCCCGAGCAGCCCAGCCGGGGATGGGGGACAGTGGTCAGAGGGCAGTGGAGACCTGGGCCCGGGCCCAGGCACATTCCAGGGTGGCCGCTGGCTCTGAGTGGCCATGGTGGACAGCGGATGGCGTGGGCTTCCTGGGGCACTGTGTGGTTGTGAAGCCTTCTCCCCTTCCCAGAGCCTGCGGCAGAGCCACCTGCCAGCCCAGGCTGGAAGTGCGTCAGCGCCGGAGCCATTTGATTATAAATAAATAAGGACTGTGACATCGCTGCTACTCACGTCTGTGAGCTCAGGAGCGAGGCCCGGCATCAGGTGAGGGCTGCAGGGCCTGGAGGGGTGCTGGGCCCTGAACTACAGGGGACGCCCGCGGGAGGAACCTCACGGGGGTGCCCGCACCGTGCTCCCTGGAACAGCCCTGGCCTGGGCCGAGGACAGTCTGGCCCTCCAGGCCCCGTCCCTTACCTGTTCTGTCCACTCTTTCTCGGCTGCTGGCGCGTGGGGCCTGGTGCGTGGCTGGGGCAGCTGCATCTCCCACGTCTGGTCCGGGAGGTCGGGACACCCCGCTCTTCTCCTCCACTGAGGAAGTGGCGTTGAGCCGCGAGCGGGCCTGGGGCTGCAGCAGTGGGGGAGGCTGTGCGCCAGAGGGGCTCGGCGTGGGGGCGCTGGGGTCCATCCTGCCGGTGAAAAGTGCTGCGGTCAGACACACACTTGATGTGTCTACCCAAAATCTGTGGAGGGGACCTGATTTGGAAAAAGGGGTCTTGGTAGACGTGATTAAAGATCTCCAGACAAGATCGCCCGGGATTGCGGTGAGCCCTAAACCCAGTGGCTACGAGAAGAGGAGGCAGAGAAGACCGCGTGGGGACGAGGGCGGAGGCAGAGGCTGGAGCGAAGCATCCGTGAGCCAAGCGGCGCCAAGGGTCCCCAGATGCCAGGAGCTGGAGAGGCCAGGGAGGATCCCCCCTCAGAGCCCCCCAGGAGTGGAGGGGAAGGGAGGGGAGATGGAAGGAGGGCGTGGGGGAGGGGAGAGGACCACAGCTGGTGGGGCCAGGATCTAGTCAGATCTGCTCAACTTCACAGCCCTCCAGGCTGGAACCGCAGGACAAAGATCTCGGAATCCGAATGCCTGGGCAGCTGCGGTGTAACGCGCGCTGTCCGAGAGCGGATGCCCAGCATGGACCAGAGCGCACGGATTCTGACGGCCTCGTCAGGAAGGAGAAGGCTCGATGAGGCTACTGCAGGGGCTGCCCGCAAACAAACAGCTGACGCAGGCGGCTGAGTCACCGCTCCTGGCTAGGCTTCGGGGTCAGCACCCCCTGAAACTGTCGGGGCCGCGAGCGCACTGTGTGGGGACCTGGGAGGCTCCTCCTCAGACTCCCATGACCCTCCCCAGACTCAAGGCCACATCCCCCTCCTCGCTGGGAGGAAGACACTGAGCGCAGAGCAGGGAGAGGCTGGCGAGGGGGAGGCCTGGCTCCAGCCCTGCCCTCGGCCTGTCCCCACCAGCTGGTGGGCCTGAGCAGGCCACGCCCCCTCCCTGCACCTCAGTCTCCTCAAATGTAATGTGGACAATCACCCCATGCTCAGGGGTGCCGTGAGGACCAGATGAGACCAGGGATCGTGAGGCACACGAGGCAGGCGCAGGTCCCAGACATCTCCCAACACCCAGCTCCAAGCACCCAGCCTGCCGGATAGAGTAGCTGCCCCACACGTCAGGTGGCTGTTGTCACAGGAAGAGGCAGGGGTGGCCCCAGGCATCATACGCCAGTTCCCAGGGGCTACACAACCACGTCTACCCTGTCCCCAGCCACAAGCGGGTCGCAAAGACTGAATCTGTGTTTGCTGAAGAACCCCGCGGATTTCATCTGACGTGCCCGCCTCAGGGGACCGACCCTTCTTCTAACACACCCCCCAGGTGCAAACCGCAGACGCGGTCCAGCCAGGAAGCTGCCTGGAGACCCAAGCAGGGCTCGGTGTGTTTCCAAACTCCAGGCCTCCAGGAACCAGAGGCCACTTGGCATTTAGCCGCACCGCACGTGCGAACAGAAGCCGGGACGCAGCCGGCCGACGGCGGGGAAGTCAGCGGTGATTCGGCACACACGACCCAGGCGTGTGCAGGTCACCAGCCAACCCGAGTCGGCAAGAAAGGCAGGACTTGGAACCATGGGGGCCCCACCTTCCCTTGCCACCTCCAGCGCCTCCCGCTGCCTCTGCGATCAAGCGCCACCTTCTCGGAAGGGCAGAGGGCTGCTCGCCTGAATGCGGGTCGCATAACACCTGGGTCGTAACGATGACGGTACCGAACACCAGTCTGCAAGTGCTCTGTCCCCGGCACTTCCCACAGACTTTCTCGGGTTATCCTGGTGTTACAGACGGAGAACCGGCGAAGCCTTCAACCCTCACCCCATCTCACAGGAGGAGACATGGGTCCCGGAAGGCGAGATTCCAGCTCGAGGCCACACAGCTCCGTGCGGGGGCTGGAATTCCAATCCACGAAACCTCTGCGAGTTACTGAAAAAGGGGCCTCTCAAGACCTGGCCCCCGCCGGCCTCTGCCACCCCCCATCCCCCCACTCCCCTGCTCCTCCACATCCCCATGCAACGCCGACCTCCACGCCTCCGCTCTGGCAGAGCCCCCTTCCTGGGGTCCATCACGGCTGTGCTTTCCAGCACTTTCCAGAGAGGGCAGTTCTGAATGTTATAGCCCTCCGTATACAGCTGTTAACCATGACCTTGCAAACGAATGTTTAAAGACGAGGAACGTGTGTGCATAACACTGTCAAGCAGGATTTAAAGCAGCAGGAGATATTAGCTGGAGTCTGTTAAGGATGAAAACGAAGCTTATCTGCAGAAAAACATGGAAAAAAAATGCCTCCAAAATGGCAATGCTATCTCTGGGTGGAGGAGTTACAGGTGGTTTTATTTTACTCTTTTTCTAAATGTGTTTCCTTAATTTCCTCTAATGAATTTGTGAGGTTTTTGGAATGACAACAAAAATGTTATTCTAAAACCCATCTGTGACTGAGCCCGAAGGGAGCGGGCCCAGGGGTTCCCAGAGTCTGTGATGTCTGCTCCGGCCCCGCCTGGCCCAGCCCCGGCACAGGGCTGCTCCTCAAGACAAGGGCACAAGGCCCTTGGAGGCTTCCAAGTGCCTATTTTTGCTCCAGAGTATTAGGGGCCAAACCAACCAACATTCCATTTCTACCCAAGTGCCAAGGTCACAGGAACAAAGGCGGAGTCAAGTTGGGAATGCCCCAGGTAGTGATCACAGATAGCCACACTGTCTGCAGTGGCCGAGCCCTCACCGTACACCTGGCCCCTGCTCTGCACCTGGCCCAACGCTGCGCCAGGCACTGTGCAGGGCCTCCCTGCCCAGAGAGGGCTCCTGGAGGGCTGGCCTTCGAGAGCTCAGTATGGGAAGAACAACATCTACACAGACAACTGCAAAGACGGCCATTTGGGGCTGCAGGCACAGAACGGGGGGCTCACTCAGCTGTGGAAAGGGGGCAGGGTAGGGTTTTGGGAGAGAGGCCTGACTATGCCTTCAGGACCAGCGGGAGCGGGGAGGGAGGGGGAGGGAGGGAGCCGTCTGGGCGGTCCAGCACGGACTGCTCAGGAGGAAAGGAAGCGGAGGATTAGTGAGCCAGCAATGTGGCTGGGAAGGGTGGGAGGCTGAGAAGTGACCTCTGGGGAAGGGACACACAAATGAGAGAAGAGGCTGAGTGGGTGCTGGGGGCAGGTCCCAAGGGCCTGAACTAGTGCCGGGCTTACGGCCAGAAGTGCAGGACAGTGCTGAGCCAAGAGAAACAGGAGTGTCACCAACTGAATGTGAGGTGCGAGGAAGCAGAGGGCGGCTGGGTTTGGCCAAGGGCCACGGCGGTGGCACCACTTTCTGAGGAGGGGACGTGGGCGAGGAGAGGGAGTCGTATAAAGCATAAAGCGTCTCTCTATTACGGTTCTTTCTGTCACCACCGCTGTACCAGGGCTTGGTCTCTGTCCTGCGGCACAGGCATTCTCGGGGGCCAGGACTGGGGTGGCTTCCCCTCTGTGACCAGGCCCGAAGGCCTGTGTGGCTCTGGCCTGGGAGGTCAGGGGAGGCCTGAGGGGGAGGCCCTGCACGAGCTCTTCTGTCCTGGGACGGAGGATGAGACGTCTCCCAGCAACCTTTCCTGTGTCCAGGCAAAGGTCCATCTGCTGGGGGAGGGCAAGGAACTTCTATCAAAATCCCCAGTCAGACATTGAGGGCCTCAAATGAGAATCACAAGAGGGACACTGGCAAGTGTGGCCGCTGCTTCCAGCACAGGGCTGCAGTGAGTCAGGCAGCCAGCGTAGAAGGGCCCCAGGGCAGTGATGGATCCCGGTTTACCAACAGGCCGAATGCCAGAGGTCACTGTCCACGGTGAGAAGAGGCGTGGCTGTGCTTGCCTGGGCAGGTCACCAAAACAGAGCGAACCTCAGTGTTCTCATGTGAAATGGGGCTACAATTCCTACCCCTGAGATGATCATGAGGTTTAAATATTGTACAAGAGTTAGTTCCTTGGAATTTCTTAAACATCGACTACCAAAAACGGGCAGAAAACACAGTTCCATCATGCCCTAAGGACTGGCTCAGATTCCCCAGAAAGCTCCCACCTGTCAAAACAGTAATTAACATTCCTGAGGGCCTAGGGGCTGCCACAGCCGGCCCCCTCCTGCCCACAGGAGGAGCCCCAGGGGAAAGTAACTCCCAGACAGTAACTAAGTGGGCTGGGAGTGTTATAGCCTGACCCAGAGGCTGCCACTTAGGTGGTCTCGGTCCCCACAGAGGAGTTGAACCCCCATCAGCCCCGAGCTCCGACTTGGGGACCCAGGCGCCTTCCAGCGGCCCTGAGTCCCGCGGACAGCTGCGGGGGGGAGGACCATGACGGGGCGACTCGAGACAGTTGCTGCGGGGAGTAGTCGCCCCCTGCCGCGGGCCTCCTGCCTTTTGGGTCTGTTCCCCTCCCCCCACAAAGCGGTTTCGCGGCGAAGTTCATGGGAGTGACAGTGCTTGGAGCGCACGGTGCCCCACGATTCCCGGGGAGCTGGAGCCAATGGGGCGCGCACCCCCGAGGAACGCCTCACCCGGGCATGGGTCCCCACGGCTCCGCGGAGTAGGAGGGACACCAGGCCTCCAACTTCTGGGGAACTTGCGGGGTGGGGGGAGGCAGACGTTGAGACCAGCTGCCCATCCGCTCATATGGAGAAACTGAGGCCCGATGCAGGAGGCGCCCTCCCATTC